GCAATGAAATGTAGCGAAATTAACGACAATCATGTGTTTGGAGGTTGAACAGGCAATTGTCAACCATTAGACTTTCTCTGTGGGAGAGGAGCATCATCATCGTCGATAAAATGACATCAGTGTGAAACATCGATGCTTCACTGCACAACCATGATTTATTTGAAAAACTTATTGTGAAGAAAAGAATAGAAGTGGACGGGCAAGTGACTTAGTGCTAGCTCACCACAATCATTCCGAGGTGCCTACACCTCCAGATATTCACTCAGACAATCTGGATAGAAACTGACAACAAGAACGCCACTGACATCGGTTAAAAGCCATGTCTTGCAGCGTCTCCAACCAGGCGCGGTGAGCAGCACGCGGTTCCCAACCTGGAAGGTGAGTAGCAGCTGTAGCATCAGTCCTAAGTGCTGGGCCCACAAGAACAGGGTTATCAATGGGCTGGTGAGAGGGGGAAGAAAATGTTTGTGAAAGAGGAAGAAGGGAGGCGTCAGCAGTAGCCTGCTTTCGCTTACCCGCCCTGCTGTATGCAGCAAGTAAGGCGACCCGGCTGATGGCGCCACGCGACGGCCGATGTGGAAAGAGAGTATTGTTAGTCGTGGATGTCATGGCTGTACGTGGGCTGGGATACTGTCAGGGCGCCCACACCTAGACAGGAGGACTATTAGGGACCTCAACCAAAGCCTTTAACTCAAAAACTTAACCGCAAGCAGCGGTGTTTGGCGGGAAGTGCTAATGAATTACCATTAGTACGGAGCTCATCNGTTCTCCCCTGGAACGGTTCAGCTTTCTGCAGGATAACCGGTTTGATGTTCCTATTTCAAAGAAGCAGGAGTTTAAACACTAGAAATTTTTAGTGTCACCCACTCGAACTGACCAGGTTACCAAATCAAATAACAATATGTTACGAATTGTATCCTTGTGACCTCATCTTTTGACAGACAAGTTGCGGTCATAACCGCGACACAGGTAGTGAGCTGGCCACTTTGGCCTTCCATACGCAAATGGCAATATCGAGTCTAGCTAACTGTGTGGACTCATCGATCTCCTAGCGTTGTCTGTTGCAGTGTTTCCAGAGTGAATGGTATGTTGTCTTTAACTCCCAACTGCTGTTTGATTTACTGGTTCAGCACACTCAAAATTTATTCGCGGTCAGATATAGTCGTGGCACTTTGAGTTTTCTGTTTAATCTGTCCCGTAATATATGCTTTCTAAGCAACATTTGAACGTTGTCTGGTTGTTACTTATCGCCGTTCATCAACGACTGTGTGCTCTTGTAACTTGGCAATCGGCCTTTAGAAGAATTAACCATGCTACATTAAGTCATCCAGTTTCCTCTGTCAACGTGGGAATTGACCAATCAGGAAAGAGAAGCTGAATAAGTCAAACCAAACATGTCAACAGCTACCACATCGAATATCATGAAACTTTGAAAAGATCAATCCTTTGCGTTGTATTCCTGCGTTCGTTTGGTTTGTGCTTCGTGAATAGTAGCACGTTCCTTAGGCTTACGAAAACCTTCATGACTTACCATGGTTATCAACACCCTGTTCCATGAGGGCTTCATTTACTCCGAGACCATCGTCCCGAACCAACCGTCGATGCACCATGAGCTCCAACTGTCCTTGTTCCAAACTGCTTCCGCCTTGCGGGCGATCAGTGTAGACAGCGAGTGCCAGTGGGGGTGATTCGGGTGAAGTTTCACCAGCACCTTTGATCAGGATCCGATTGATCACAGGGTAGTAGTTAGAGGCGATGGGATCATGTAAGTTTGTGGTTCGAATGCGGCGAATCAGTTGACGTCCAGATGAGTCTGTGAAAAACTCTCCTTGAGAATCGGACAGGGATTCGGTATGAGAGACACACGTTGCAATGAAATGTAGCGAAATTAACGACAATCATGTGTTTGGAGGTTGAACAGGCAATTGTCAACCATTAGACT